GACTCTGAAAATGTCTCCAGAGAAGCGACTAGACTCTGATTGTGAACACCCCTAGAGAAGCCATGATGCTAGACTCTGAAAATGTCTTCAGAGAAGCGACTACACAGCCCAGAGAAGTGAACAGCTAGACTCTGAAAATGTCTCCAGAGAAGCGACTAGACTGATTGTGAACACCCCTAGAGAAGCCATGATGCTAGACTCTGAAAATGTCTTTAGAGAAGCGACTACCAAGCCCAGAGAAGTGAACAGCTAGACTCTGAAAATGTCTCCAGAGAAGCGACAAGACTCTGCTTGTGAACACCCCTAGAGAAGCCATGATGCTAGACTCTGAAAATGTCTCCAGAGAAGCGACTAGACTCTGATTGTGAACACCCCTAGAGAAGCCATGATGCTAGACTCTGAAAATGTCTCCAGAGAAGCGACTAGACTCTAATTGTGAACACTCCTAGATATAGAGAAGCCATGATGCTAGACTCTGAAAATGTCTCCAGAGAAGCGACTAGACTGTAATTGTGAACACTCCTAGAGAAGCCATGATGCTAGACTCTGAAAATGTCTTCAGAGAAGCGACTACACAACCCAGAGAAGTGAACAGCTAGACTCTGAAAATGTCTCCAGAGAAGCGACTAGACTGATTGTGAACACCCCTAGAGAAGCCATGATGCTAAACTCTGAAAATGTCTTCAGAGAAGCGACTACCAAGCCCAGAGAAGTGAACAGCTAGACTCTGAAAATGTCTCCAGAGAAGCGACTAGACTCTGATTGTGAACACCCCTAGAGCAGCCATGCTGCTAGACACTGAAAATGTCTTCAGAGAAGCGACTACACAGCCCAGAGAAGTAAACAGCTGGACTCTGAAAAAGTCTCCAGAGGAGTGACTAGACTCTGATCGTGAAAACCACTAGAGAAGCCATGCAGGATGAGAGCAGCTAGACTCCTGTGAAACCAGAAAAGCTGCAACCAGAAATGGTTTTATTGGCCCGGTCTAGTAAAGGATGTTAAGAACTGGTGTAAGGCCTGTGACTCATGTGCCCGCAGGAAGTCTGGTCCTACAAGAGGCCGAGCCCCTCTGTCCTCTTCGGTTCCAGTGAGGGCTCCATTAGAGCGAATTGCTATATAAAATGTACACCCTAGGTGGGCTTCAAACTATGGAGAATGGAAATCATTACATTATAGTGGTGGGAGATTGTTTCTACAAGTGGGCGGAAGCATATGAAATCACACCGCACAAACAGTAGCTGACAAATTAGCCACAGAGTGTATCTGCATGATTTGGTGCACCTGTCGGTATCCATACAGATCAAGGTCGTGAGTTCGAAACTGACCTATTCAAAGCTATTGAGAGAAGTTAGGGATAGATAAAACTAGTACAACCCCCTACAATCCGATGGACTTGTGGAAAGGTTGAATCGTACCCTAATTCAAATGCTATCGGCCTTCGTCAATGAAAATAGGAATGATCACTTACCCTATGTGATGATGGCGTATGCGTATAGTGCCACTAGGCATAGTAGTACTGAATGTAGTCCAAACCTAGTTATGTTGGGTCGTGAGTTGTCATGTCCTCTAGATATTAAGTGGGCTTACCAGCAGAAAATGAACAAATGAATTGAATTTTTACGATCGCGGCGTGGCACATGTGTGTATTAGCATGTAAAGTGAAGAAAGCGTCGCCAGATAATATCGTTACAATTACCTGCTAAAGTAAGCGACATCAGAAGATGTGTTATTAGTAAGGCTTTTATTGATATACCTTCCAAATTTCAGCTCGATATTTGAAAAAATGACCGAGTTATAATAAATTTATCATTACAATCGGCGTTTGAGTTGTACATGGGAAACTAGGAGAAGCTGCACTTGACAGAAAATGCACTATGATCGGAAATCAGAGGAGAAGAAATACTGAAAATGGAAGTATGTGTGCACGTGTGATGAGGTAGAGTGGAGTGATGAAGTAGATAGACACTGAGATTAGAGTAGCTCCCAGTATTCCAGGGAGATACCTCCACGTCAGACTAGGGTTGGCAGGAATGTGAAGCCGTCAAGTAGATACTCTCCATAGTAGCCTTGTGGTTGCGTGAATTCGTCCTCGAAACGTCTGTATGCCGTACCCAGAGTGTACTCCTGTTGTGGTTCACTGATGTGGCCATCAGTCCCTCTCTCGCTACCGGCGGCTGCTGCCACTGGAAGCCTGGATTGGGAGTCTATTCTATTTCCAGTCGCTGATAGCACTCCTGTAGTGTAGCTACACTATCTGTTAAGCTTGTACCAAAGAGTAAATGGTTATTACTACTCGACGACTCGGATTCGTGTTGATATGCAGTGGTGTTTGTTGTTACAGACTCTCGTGAAACTTCCTGTCCGCCATCTTGCCGCGATGCATTATGGTATACCGCAACTCTCCTGTGATGTGCGACTGGGGCAGAAGTTCTCGCTTCCCGTAAACCTTGCAACTGGGGCAGAAGTTCTCGCTTCCCGTAACTTCTTAACTAACCCCATACGCCGAGATCAAAACATAAACGGAACGTTGAGAGAATAATCCAGGGTCGTACGGCACAGGCCTCGTATTCCTGCCCATTGTAAACAAAACGTCTTCGACGATAGTAACAAAGTATTCTGTACAGTTACGTAAACAGCACAAAGTTTAATCACGAAGGCACAGCGTACACATCGTCGGTAGGTCTATACGAAGCACTCAGGCGTGGTTTAAAGGAAACACGTCACATAAACAGTTGCGGGGAGGCTAGTACGAACAGAAACACTTGAGAAATCATGTTACAAAGTACGTTCCAAGATGGCGATAACACTTCCAACTCCTCGGGAGGAAAGTCCAAAGAGGTTACGGTAACCAAGATAGACCTTAACTGTAGCTATTAGGGTGTCCTTTTTAGCCAAATATCGTTAGTGACTATATTACACAGGTAAATCCAAGGATGTTCGTTAGTTTTTCAAGGAATTTTAAACTTGAAAAGCCGAGAAATAATGCACAACAATCTCCTTCAATGATTCAGAAAACTATGCTGTGGGGGCTCCAAATCCCTAACAGGGCATTCCCTCAGGCAGACGCTGATTGGTCAATCAGCAGCATCCCTCTACTCTCAATAACATACATGCTAATTGGCAACTACATAAATACATATGACCTACATTACAGAAAACAGAAAACATAGGCAGCAAGGCAAACTCATTGTATATAAACTATAGTTTAATATTAAAATATCAAACTATCATTGTATGCTGTGATATGTATGCATGTATGCTTTTATATGTATGCATTTATGCTGTTATAAGTATGCATGTATGCTATTATATGTATGTATGCTATTATATGTATGCTTACTTGTATGTAGGTATATTGTTATATTTATGTATGTATGCTAATATATGTATGTATGTATGCTATAACATATGCATGTATGCTGTTTTATGTATGTATGCTGTTAAATGTGTATGTATGCTGTTGTGTGTATGTATGATATTATATTTACGTATGCTATAACGTATAAGCATGTATGCTGTTATATGTATGTGTGTATGCTATTATATTTTTGTTTGCTATTTTATGTATGTATGCATGCTATAACATATATGCATGTATGCCATTATATGTATGTATGTATGCTGTTATATGTATGTTTGCTATTATATGTATTTATGATAGTATATGTATGCATGATATTATGAGTATGTATGATATTGTATGTATGCATGCATGCTATGCTATAATTTGCTATGCTATGCTATGCCTAGTATGTATTTGCTGTAAAATGCATCCATCTATCCAGTTGGTCTGCCATTATAAAATGCCATTATCAATTGGTAGTAAAACATATTTACAAAAAAAAAGGATTGGGAGGCGATCCCCAAGTTTTGAGCGACCTCAAAGCTGTATAACCTCTAGGCGACCCGAGAGGTTAGAGAATTGCGGATGACCCCTCTGGAAACACCGAGCGATCCCGGAGTTGATTAGGTAAGAAAGAACTCAAGGCAATCCAAGAGTTTGAAAGTGTATGCACAGGTACTAAGATTTATTAACAACAACATATATAAAGTATGTGATTATGTACAACATAGGTAAGCAAAAAACAACATAGGGGGTGTTCCCCGCCAGGCACAATATTGGTGAACCTGATGGAGCTTAAAGACAATGTTAAGATAAACACAAGACGTTAATATTACAACTTACCTGAATGAGTGAGCAACCACAAAATTAAACAGACACAAATTCAAGAAAAGAAAAAAATATATATATACAAGTTACAATAAACACAAATGAAAAGATGCTGCAAGCCGGCTGCCCCAACCTTTCCACATGGGTCAGGGAGGTAGTTTTACCCATTGCTCCGACCAGCTGGCCAGTGTTATCTCACTTAGTGGCCTTATCCTAACCCAAGTACCAGAACAAGCTACATATATAAGAGAGAAAAAAACTTAACATAAACATGTGCAAATTCACAGCTGATATAATGATATAAATGGTTGTTTCAAAAGGTTCAGCCTTTTATTACTTTCAGTACTTTGATTCAGTTCGTAGATTCTCCTCTCCTTCACATTTTTCCAGGCTTGCAGGGCTACCTCAAAGTCAAATGAAGCCCTATCATATCCTTCAGTTTTGATCAACATCACTTTTTTTCTGTTTTGTCAATTGTTCCTAAAGGCAGTCAGGTGCGATACTGCACAGAAAATTCCCTTTCACATAAATTCGCAGCTGATATAATGATATAATGGATTGTTTTAATAGGTTCAGCCTTTTATTACTTTCAGTACTTTGATTCAGTTCGTAGATTCTCCTCTCCTTCACATTTTTCTAGGCTTGCAGGGCTACCTCAAAGTCAAATGAAGCCCTATCATATCGTTCACTTTTTTTCTGTTTTGTCAATTGTTCCTATAGGCAGTCAGGTGCGATACTGCACAGAAAATTCCCTTTCAGAGTTTCATTGTTTTTCTGGGTACTGGTAGGGTTGTTGTTCTTCGTGGTCCATATTGGTCCTTCTGGATGGTACAAGATTTAGGTACTGCAAAAAAAAACACATTTAAATTTTTGGTAGTGATACTTTCTTTGATTACTATTTTTAAATTATTGAAATATTACAAGCATACCGTTAGACTTCTTAAATTTTTCCAGGAGACATCACGTTTGCAGTAATAATGTAAAGTATATCATTTTTGAAGATTTGTCAAAAAAACCAAAACAAATCATGATTATAAGTATGTACATACAATACATTCAAATAGATAAGTCTTTCAAAAATTCCAAAATTCCAGATAAGCTATGTTTAATAACTGACCTTGACCTTAAAATTTCTATAAATCCCTTTTGTACATCTATATTTCAGTGTGTCAACATGTCAAATTTCAGAAAATCATTCTTCTGAATTCTGAGATAATGTCCAGAAATGAAAGTGTAGGCGCACAGATGATTACTGTAGGGCACCTGCATCTCCGATTTGGGGCCCTCATTATGCGTGGATATTGCTCAAATTGAAATTTAGCCACTAGCTGTCTTTCTATGATTTACAAGAACACCAATTTTCATCAAAATACAACAATATTTAAGCAAGTTATCGTGCAAAATCTTCTATTTTTCAATTGACCAATCAGAGCACAGAATGCTAATTAATTAATTAACTATTATAGGTAATGCATACCAAATTTCATCATCATAACTAAACGATATTAAACAAGACCCCTACTGGGCCATGGTAACTCTTTCATTAAATTTGGTTCAGATATCTTCTTCTGTATTGGATGAAAAGGTAATTATTAAGATTTAAATCTATTAACCTTTAATTGGTTAAAATCTCTCCAAAGTACAAAAACAGAAGGATTTTATGAAGATTAATCTCAATACCCCCTCTTGGTCTTGGGCCTTCCTTGCCTCTCTGTCCCGGGGGGGGGGGGGGGGGGGGGGGCATAATCTAATCGTACTCAAGTATCATTTAAATCTGTGCACTTTGGGAGAAGTGCTAACAATGTACATGTATAACATCAAAAGGGCATAACTCCATAATCAAGGGAAGTAACTATTCATTATGGTTTATTCATGTCCCTTAGTTTTTGTACTTTGTGTCCAAAGTATCATTCAAATTGGTGAATTTGGGAAGTGTAGTTTTTTTCTTGAAACTATTGTAGTGAGAACAATGTTGTGTCTACAGACAGATTGACAGACAGCCTGATTCCAGTATAACAGAACTTCCTTTCATTGCAAAGGAAAGTAAACCCAGCTGTTTTATTTTAGTGTCAAGCTACACTTACCTTGGTTTTTTTATGGGGCAATCTTTCCGTCCTGAGGTCAGGATTTTTCAAACTTGTGTCATCTTGACAATAGACAGACTTCCCAGCAAAGAAGATAGATGAAGCCTCAAGAAGATTTAGTCATGTCCCAATTAGTTTTGTCCATTCTTTCACAATGTATGGAAGTCCAGACACAAACAATCCACCAGCACAAGATTTACAGAGCAGTACAACACACATGGCGGTCCATTGGTGCATCAAGCCCGGCCGCACAGGCCTGACGTCCCAATCATGATGCTGTAAAGCCATACTCGTGTCAGATTCATGTCTGTATTTGGAATTAAATGCATTGTCAAAGAAGTGACAGTTCGAAGTTGAGAAATGACTAAACCAACTGAGTTCCAAATATTTCCGTTGCTAAGTCATCCATCTAGAATTAGCCTCCACGCATTAGAAAATCCTGACCAGGTGACTGTCCGAGACGTTGGACAATCTCCTACAAAAAAACCCAGTTCAATCACATAACAATCACCTTTTTCCCCCATCAACAACCTGATGTTGTGAAATTGTTCTTTTTAAGCATTGCTTTTGCTTATTCAGTCAAAAATATATACAGTATAACCTGTCTTAACCGGATGTCACCGGGACCAAACTATTTGTCCGGTTTATACAGGGTCGGCATGGTATTTTTTGAAAATACAAAAATGTAGTGTTTTGCATACTATCTCTATACAAGTGTGTCAACATGAACAACAGAGATATGAATCAATTGGAACGTTTAATTATTAACAAAATATAAAGTTTATGATACAAATGAAGGGCAAACTAACATTGGATAGCACTAATTTGTTTAGAATGTGTTTGCTTTAGATTGTAGCCAGCCGGAATGAACAGGCTGTTTTTACATGGATTACTATGCCAACTTTTGTGAAACAACGCCGGGTTTCGGAATGGACAGGGTCTGGTTTATACAGGGTTTAACTACTATGATTATATAGGGAATATGCCGGGACCACAAATCACAGCCAGTTTAGACAGGGATCCAGATTAGACAGGGGCCAGTTTGGACAGGTTATACTTTATATTATGATGTACATTTTTAACAAATATAACAGCACTTTGGTTAATTGTTTTTAAAATTGAATGACCTCAGCCTCATCTGATGTACTGCTATGTAATAGGTAGCAAAAAAGCATACTGCTCCCTTTCAACAATGGGAAATTGATAAAAGAAATACATAAGTGACCTTGACATTTGACCTCTGACGCATAACAAACTTAGCACTGTGACCTTGAAACATTAACCTTTTTTTAATTTGCAGTCAGTCTTCATAACTCAAACTTTTGTAAAGTTGCTGACAACCAGACGTTTCAACTGTGCATCAAGTGACCTTGACCTTTGACTTCTCTTTGAATTCTCTCCGATGTCTTAAGGAAACTATCAAAGCAGCAATTACGTTCAAGTTCTGAGGAGTTATTTATGAGATTATTAACAAAGTCACAAGCATTTTATTCTTGGTAATTCACCCATTCCTATTTACTGTATGTAGTAATTACACTTTCAGGAAAAAGAAATAATTGAAAGAAGGATAAAATAAACAAAAGGCCCAGAGGGCCTGTATCGCTCACCTGAATATCTAAGCAATTATGGCAAAATATTCTCCAAATGAGAACCAAGGAAATATGTAGCATATCTGTATAAGATATTTCATGCCCAGCAATTTTATGTATGGTTATGGGGTTGGGATCTCAACTGTTTCTAAGTTATGACCTAGGGATTAAGTCTCCAAGGGTGGGGCAGATCCCAAGACCATCCTGGAAGCATATGTGCATTCATATCTTTATACTCAGCAATTGTTTATAATATGGTTATAAGGTGGGGATCTCAACTGTTCCCAAGCTGTGACTAAGAATCTAGATCTGTCGGGGTACAGTCAGACTCGAGGGTCTTTTCTAATATCATGATTGCAATTTGTCTCTTTATGCCCAGCATTTGTATACATAATTTCGGGGTGGGGATTTCAACCATTTTAAATTTATGACCCAGGGACTATGTCTCCAAGGGTGGGGCTAAACCCTAGGGCCTAACTTTTCTTGACCCCACTCCTTAGCCCGGGGGGTCAGCCCCACCATTTATACAATTTTGAATCCCTGCCTACCATGAATGCTTTTGATCAAATATGATTGATATCTAGTGCATAGTTCTACAGAAGAAGTCGTTTATAGCAATATAGCCAAATTGCTCCCTTTTGGACGCACCCCTCAGCCCCCTGGGGGGTCAGCCCCACCATTTGTACAATTTTGAATCCCCACCACCTAGGGATGCTTCCAGTCCAATATGGTTGATATCCATCACTTGGTTCCAGAGAAGAGGTTGCATAAAGCAATATAGCCAAATTGACCGCTTTTGGCCCCCGCCCTCAGCCCCCTGGGTGGTCAGCCCTACCAGTTATACAATTTTGAATCCCTGCCTCCCATGAATGCTTTTGATAAAATGTGATTGATATCCAGTGCATAGTTCTACAGAAGTTGTTTGTAGCAATTTAGACAAATTGCCCCCTTTTGGCCCATCCCCTCAGCACCCTGGGGGTCAGTCCCACCATTTGTACAATTTTGAATCACCACCACCTAGGGATGCTTCCAGTCCAATATGGTTGATATCCATCATTTAGTTCCAGAGAAGAAGTCGCATAATGCAATATAGCCAAATTGCCCCCTTTTGGTCCCGCCCCTCAGCCCCCTGGGGAGTCAGCCCCACCATTTGTACAATTTTGAATCCCCACGACCTAGGGATGCTTTCAGTCAAATTTTGTTAAATTCCAATCAGTGGTTAGGAAGAAGAAGTCGTTTAAAGCAATTGTTGACGTACAGAAGATCGACGGACGACGGACGCCACAGTATGGCATAAACTCACCTTGGTCCTTCGTAAAAATCACCAAACATATTTTTATGTCTTTTAAATAATAATATGGGGTTTAAATTTGGTTTCGATACCAGCCTGTGAAGTAGAGAGGGTTTATATATATAGTTGCCTTGTTTATTCATCCGTCAATTTATCCCAATTAAGTCTGGATGTTTATGCGAGATAAAATTGTTTGTGTCGAAGGTAAAAACTAGGGTAAGTCGGGGTACCTGAAACATACATATTTTGTTTGTCCTTATATATTTCCTTCTCTTTCTTATATATTTTCCAGTTTACCAATAAAGATGGGTTCTAGCTGCTAAATATAAACAAGAATTCCACAGGAGTGGATGTGTCGCCTGTTCAGCGCTTTTATTAAGAAAAGTGTTTTGGCTGGAGTTATCGCGTAAACAGATATGCCAAAACACGGAAAGTTGAAAATCAACAGAAAAACCCGTAATATATGTTGAATATTAAATATTATTCCTTCTAGCATATCTGTACAAAATTTGAAAGGGAAAATGATGCAATTATGTGACTCGTATTCCTGAAAATATAGTCAATCATAAATGATCTGCAATTACCAGTAATGATTTGAGAATAAATGAAGGTTCTTATGTTAATGAATTTAATTAACACAATTAATAGACAATGGTGGCAATAGGATCTTTATGACCAGATGGCATTGTAAATTGATTTGGCATTGAAATTTCAGTTTATTTGATAGTGGAAATAAAACTATGATGCTTTTTGTCAGCGAGAACCCATCTTTCAATGAAAAAGTTTATCTTTTCATCTTAACTCTGCAAAATAAAGAAATCATCATACCTTCAGGAAAAGGCACTCATGCTTCCGATGAGTCCATTAAAGTCGACGAACCAAACATCGTACTGTAAGAGAAATGTACAATGATATATAAACACAATTTACGCATTGATATCTCAAAACAAAGTGATAAATATAAATTTGCCATTGTTGCGAAGGGCAAACATTAAACGGTATATAAGCAAATAATTCCAGGTATACAGTAATTATACAGTTTCCTTGTTTCACAATAGATACAAGTGTTTTTGGCTGGTGGTGGGGATGGGTTGGGGATAAACAATGCCTTGTAGAATCTATTTAGACCAGCACAATGTTCAGTTATTAAAAGAGCAAGATGAAAGATACTGCAAATAGACAAATAACTGAACAGGATGAAAATATGCCCAAGTAGGAAATGATGGAAACAAAAAAAGCACCATAAGCAGGTGCACGATACACCACGGTAGAGCATATTCAAGCTTTCTCGAGTCTTGATTTGGTTACCATGAATTAAGCATTCATAAATCTATTAAGGTAGGTGAAAAACATCCTTCTCAAGCAGTGTTAGTATTCAAGACAATCAAGTAGAGGAAACTATCAAATGTTGACGTACAAAACCATATTGAAATGAGACCATTTTTTGACCTTCTGTTGTTAATGACATTGACCTTTGACCTTGTGATGCATCATGACATGTCTTTATATTAAGGCATGATTATGACTGACTTAATGATGCAGGGTGCAACACGTACTACACATCAGGTTGTTTAATGGATAATCAAAGAAGATGGACAACCAGCAAATAGGTGAACAGCAGAGATACCAGCAGAAAAACAATTCTAAGAGAAAAATGTGCAAAGATCAACAATCAAGTGAAATTGAACAAAAGACATCCCAACATGTAACAAGGTACTAAAGAGAAATTGTGGACAAAGTTCCATACAGATAATAAAGGGCCATAACAACACTGGTGAAATTAACACCTCAGACTCCATTTTCACAAGATGCGCTCTCAAGATGCACAAGTATTAAGTTTGGTTAGCATAAGTGAAAAAGACAAATGTCAACAATGAAAATGATCTCCTAAGAATTCCTCTCAACCACTTACAAATGTGAAGCTTATTAGTTTACCAGCTAAACAAAATATTGGGCTTGAGCACAGAACCTAGTTTGAGCTTGAGAATGGAGTCATGAATACTAATATTGGCCCAGGTCTTGTATTCATGAAACTGTTATCATGCAAAAGCGTCGTGTCAATTCTCTGCTTACACCAATTGTCTTATCACTTGCTTTAATCATCTGACATGGCAAAAAAGTAAAGTCTATTTATTGAATTTTTACATCAATATATCAGGAACCAAAAAGAAAATAAAAAAAATGGGCAAGAGCATACAATCTGATTTTTAGCATGAAAATGGTTTCATAAATACAGGCCCTGAAAGCAAAATTAATTCTGATAACTGCATAGTCTTGATAATTACAAGGCATTATAATTTTGTATTGATCTATAAAAAACACATAAAATCAGGATAATTCAATTTGATATTGCTTACCTTGCCTAACGGAATTTCCCCGCTCTACGGCGACATAGACCTGCCACTATGTCACACCCTTGGGCCCTTAGTACGGCCCTTTTGACTGCCTCCACACTGTGGCTAAAACAAGAAATAAACTGAATTAATAATTAAAATCATAAAATGTCTGTCTTTAAAAGCTCTATTGAAACAAAAAGACTACTTGTCAGAACGCTAACACAAGTGTCAAAATTAGGTTGGATGAAAATTGGTATGTAAAATCATCAACAGACTGTCATTGAAGCAAAAACAGACAGAATATAAATAACAGCACCAAATCAGCTCCCACTGTCATTTTCACCTTTTTTAACATTGTTATTTACCTCAGTGTGAAGAAAGTCAAACCGGCACGAAACATGGCAGTGTCTCAGTGCCACCTCCAGGCACGTCCCCCATGTCCTTCATGAAAGAAAATTAAGATAAGCATGAACTTTTCTTTCTTATGAGAGCAACTACTATATAGAAGGGATTAAATACTCAGGTCTGAACGGAATATGATGACCAATTTTGATGGAAATTATTTTTCAAAATCTTAGATACATTCAAGGTCAACGTTTAAGGGAATAGAAACTGTAATGAATATTTCACGTCCTCATTTTTATCGTTAATTCCAAGAGTGTCAGTTACCTCCTATGGACCGGGGGCCTATGGAAAGAGATCAAGAAGGGCGACGATCTCTGCACTTTGGATGGCGCTTCCTCTAAAAAATACACAACAATATACTTGATTATGTTATGCTCAGTGAACAGGTACTTCATGGAATGAATTGTTTGGTAGCACTGGTCTACATTTAAATAATTTTAATAGTTTTGAATATATTTATCTGAAAGTTTTAATATGTACACTTTACTAAGCAGACAGTAACTAAACTGAATACATAGTACATTTCTACTTTTGAAGACCAGCTGTATAGCATATATTACCTTTATTGATTTTTTTTGTGGGGATAATTATGTGCAACTAATACAGTTTGTATTTGCTCAATGTAACCAAGATCAAGATTTACATGTAGCCATCATTGATATAGAAAATGTTTATAAAATTGATATAGAAAATGTTTATAATTTGATGGAAATGGAGCTAACCGAATTGAATGTATATATCAGAATGCAAGTTCTAACCAAGTTGAAGTGGAAAATACAGTCAATATTTTCATACAATTATTAATGAACTGTTTTCATGCAATTATTTACCCTCCTCTGGAGGCTGGCAGGCCATCCTATTCCGTCAGTCAGATACTCTGGTTTAGATGACCTTTACCCTAGTCAGACTTTCCAACGCAAGAGGTACTGTTGCAAAAACAGATTTATTCTAGTTCAGCTGCACTCATCCATCCAGTCACAAAAGAATTTAACCCCAGCTCGGAAACAACCAATATGCAGCACTTGATTCTGTATGATTACATGTTGCCCTCAGGACTATCACGGAGGGGTACATGATATCAGATCCCCACATATAACCATAAAGATCCTTGTACCTCAATAATGGTGTTCGTCAAGGTTAAAAACTTTGTTAAAGGAGTGAATAATGCAGCTGAAATGTCATAAATCTATCCAGCTTCAGATACCCCAGACGCCAAATCACCCAACTAGAGCTCAGACCACCTTCCTAGATATATCTGACCAGGGTTCTGTCCACTAACAGTAAGACAGTCCTGTAAAAAATGAAATCTTATTAGCATCATTTTGGTATATTTTACATAAATTGGAAGAAAAAAATGAAGAAGTTGGAAATTTTCTTTGTAGTCTTTTGCTGGCTTTCCCCTACTGGGCCCAAACATCCCAGCCCCTCTGTAACATCCCAGATGTATGGATGGTGTAAATTTGGTTAAGTCTTTGAGTAAAATCTTTTAAGATACCATAAATAACACACAGCTAAATGCAAAAACATTAATGAGGACACTTTAACGGCTGCTGGACCAGGAAATGTAGTCCATATTTATGATCAGTATCTGATCATGATCTTAAGTAGCCTAGATGAAAACTATGGTCTAAACTTGGTGGTCTAGTAAATAATTTAAGTCGACTGAATTCAGTTATCATTCGAAGCTGCACCCTTTGCCTATAACAGTAACATAAATTTAGTAAAGCTACAGAATTTGCATTACCACATCCCACTCATCAACATAAATATATAGGTGTACTGCTGCCCTTTCCCTCACAGATCACCAATATTTTGCTCCAAAAATATTAAATTACTTGCATTTGAAAACGAAATAATTATCTGAATTAATATTTCACAGTTCCCAGCTCCATGGGACCAACACATAAACTCAAGACTCAAAAAGTAGGGGATGGGCTTATAACAGGACAATGAAAAAGCTTTTCTCTGCATTTTTATTTAACTGCCATAAATATGCATGGGTAGCGGGTTTATTGCAACAGATAAAAATGGTATCTCCTGCATACCCCTCGGGGAGCTACCATTTTTATTGATAAGAATGAAATCGAACTGTGTTTTATTTAACTCGTTAATAATCTTTATTTCTCCCTGCCAATCTTTTAAAACAATTTTAAATGGAGTAAAAGATTATTTTTTCAGATAGCAGTAGCACTTTGTTGAATTATCATCTTGTATTCAGAATGATTACTAGACAAGTGTTGATGGACAGACAGATGGACAATGTGATTAATACAGGGCATGCTCTAATTAATCAGCATTGATCAATTTGAAATAAAACAAAGAAACGTAACCATTTAAACAAAAGACAATCACAATTGATCACACAAGACAGATTAACTAATAATGTGCAAGTATTGTAACAGTAGCACTAGAGTTATCTCCCTTATACCTTCAACATGAGGTAACTCTATAGTGACACTGTTTAAGTATCTTGTATTGTAAATTGATTTGATATTAAATTAATAACCTTTATATATTTGTATGCAAAAGAAACATTTCTAAGAATAAGTCATGAGTGCAATGAAGCACAAAACATGTAAGGAAACCCTTGATTTGCATGGATGCTTGAATAGTACCACAGATTAAATAATTAACACATGCGCATGCATGTACAGACAAGTGAATGAAATAAGGCAACTAATGACAAATTTGCTCATAAACTGCATGACACATGTTGAGATTGAATTTTCTTAAAATTCTTGATCAAAGAAACTATTATGGTATAAAATGCAAATTGACAGTAATACCAGGTAATTGTGGTATACAACTGCAACACGTTGACCAAGGAGAATTAATTAAAGTTCTTAATATGGCTAGGATACATGATTGTTGATAAATAGCAAACTTATTTACCTGGTGGTCTGGGGTAGTATGCTTCCGACATTGGTCACAGGTCGGCTGTACCTAATGTCCATCCTGCAAATTAAAATAATAAATATGCATGATTATCTCCCTTGAAATGCAAGCAAAATTGAATAGTTTGTACTTGCACTTGAAATAGACTTAAATCATGACATTTTATTATGGCATTATCAATCATGAACTTTTTTGATTTAATTGATTTTACTTTTGGTAATTTTCATTCATCAAAACACTGATTAAAATCAGTATTTTGTTTATGTTATCTTCATGTGACAAACAAAATAGGGGAGTTCACTTTGTAGAACTTTAAAATAGCTATTTATCTGGTAAACAATGAAGTCTTCCACATGATCACCCATCAACCTGTAGATTATTTACTAGTAACAATTACACCTTCAAAAGGATCAATATCCACAGAGTTAACAAAATCCGGATTTACATAATTGTACATTTATATACATACCAAGAACCCCTGACAGACTTCCAATGCTGTTCTCACGGACAAGCTGTAAAGAAGAGTGAAGAATAACAAGTCACTTTTTGGAATTGGAAAATTTGTGTTGCATTTAACCAAATTATGTAAGTGCTAAATTGAATTTTTCACAAAGTATCATTCTAAATTACTAATAATCCTGATCTATTTGACACATAAACATTTTTTGAAAAATTTCGCCTAAAACTAGGGGACTAAGTGTAGTTGCACTCACGAGAAAAAGTAAAAATACACCTCAAATCATACAAGTATACAGATACAAGGTTAGAGAATCAGAATATATATCCAAGAGGGTTCAGACACCCCCTCCCATATTCTATGATTGATCATGGTTTGACTGACTAAAACATGTTAAGTAAACTTTCAAGGTTAAAATGATTAAGATTTGGAACAGAACTAAATACAGGTCTTATTGTGAACTGCATTCAAAAAGCTATTATAAGCTGACAAATATTGGTCCTTATTAATTTGATGACACTTATTTTAAGGTATATTTTTGCCTTTTGGAGTCTCATAAGTCAAATTAACCTTGACATCAATGTGTTGAAATAACTTATAATAAGCTGACAAATATTGGTCTTTTTTTAATTTGGTGACACTTATTTTAATGTATATTATTCCCTTTTGAAGTCTCATGTGTAAAATTAACTTTGGCTGGACATTGATCTAGTTTTGTGTACATTTTACTTGTTTTTAAATGTAGATCATTATGTGACATGTATTACAAGTGTCTGCAATACACATATGATATAGACATTTGTAACGAACCCCTGTGTTCCAAGGGTCTCATTTAAAACAATCGATTCTAAAACTAGATAAGTTGAAATCTCAAGAGTACATCTAATAATGTGAAAAGTCCGCCGTCAATGGCTTTTAACAGAAGTTACACTCCTATAGGCACAATATTAATATATTCAAGATCATATAATCAGTTAATTATTATAATTGGATTAATTTTAATGTGCACGATAATTGATCACACAAAAAAGTGATAATTCGCTAAAACAAAAAATGCATAAAAGGGCAATCAATATCATTGAATCAGAGAGTAAACAAATACGTTAGTATCAATTTGACAACGTGATCAACGCATATTTTGCCATATGGAAGAAAATATATTGTAACTACTTACCCAGATGTCAACCAAGAGGGTTTACAGCGCGGAAAGATGTGACGCGAATCTAGATCTCGTTCTATGTGCATGTGACCAAGTGCATTTTCATTGGCCGATAATTATAAGCGTGAACACTGTTTTCCTACTAAACCAATGACGCTGGGAGCGATTGAGGGGTCAGTGCAGGTACGGAGAGGTAGCTCTGCCAACGGAAATTTTATATAAAAAACATTATTACTTTAGTGAAGAAATATTGAAATCGGCGTCTTTTCTACCGTAAATATCAACCGTTTAGTATATTTTTTTTCTTCTTGTTTTTTCCTCCTTTCATGCAACTTTAAAGATTGTTTGTCCCTATGCGAACCCCAGCGAAGGTTTGGTGCTGTCCATTGCAAATTTGAACTTTTCGTGGCACTAATCACAAAACCATTATTTCCCTACTTTTAACAAATTGTTTGCAAGACATCAATAGTAAATATTGCAATAAAATAGATATAAACCAGGGTTACAGAAAGTGACTAAATATGTCTAAATTCAAAATTATAATAAACACTGCATATATTGGAGGCTAAAGAAAATTGATTTATTCCAATTTGATGTATATCACACACACACATCTAATAAATAGATATGTTCATATTTCGCATTCTTACACAAAGGGAAAAAATCCACAATAAAACGCCCAGCGTAGCGATGCGATCTTTTTTCATATTGAAACAAAAAATGTTTGGACCCCGTCCCCTTGCATATTGCACAATATACTTAGAAATAAACGATGTGTCGAGGCGTGGGGAGAGGCACAAGTGTTATGAAATAAAATCTATGTGTTCAAATTTTTCGATGGCTGAGAAAAAAGGGGTCCGCCCCGGCCCGGATCCGCTCATGGCATAGAGGACGGACATATTGAGTAATAGCCCAGAGAACATACGTTGTTAACCTGGAAGCGCTCATCCTGTACGATTTATGTTCAGACGTACGATTCACATACAAGTGTATACTGTTTATTATGTGCAAGAAATATTTAAAACTTTAGCGTGGATAATTGAAAAATGTTCAATCAAAACTGTATACCAAAGAAATATTTTTAGCGTTGAAGAATAAAAAACAGAAAAGAAAAGTAAACATTAAATTTGATGTTAAACTGGTTTTTTTCAAGTTACAAAAGTGAGGAACACATGATTGTTCCTGTGCATCCAACTAAAGAAGTTGTGAGCAGGTGCCCCTCCCCCTCCCTACATCCCTTTTGTAAAATATATATTCTTCCGTTGTAGAGTGTAACCTTCCCTATGTTAAATGTGACGTAACTGAATGTAACCGTCCCGTTTTGGAGTGTGACACTGCCGTTACAGATTGTGACCATGTATCTACAATTTTCTCCCGTCGTAGAGTGTATGTATATATCCCATTGTAGAGTGTGGCCCTGTACTTAATATATCCCCCTCCCCTGTTGTAGAGTGACCTTCACATATTATATAAACCTTCCGTTGCAGAGTGGGACCTTCACACCTTACATATACCTCTCGTTGTAGAGTGTGACCTTCAATCATACCTTATATATACCTCCCGTTGAAGAGTGTGACCTTCATACCTTATATATACCTCCCGTTGTAAAGTGTGACCTTCATACCTTATCTTCACACCTTGCATATACCTCCCGTTGTAGGATGTGACCTTCACACCTTACATATACCTCCCGTTGTAGGGTGTGACCTTCATACCTTACATATACCTCTCGGTGTACAGTGTGACCTTCAAACCTTACATATACCTCCCATTGTAGGGTGTGGCCTTTACACCTTAAATATACCTCCCGTTGTAGGGTGTGACTTTACACCTTAAACATACCTCCCGTTGTAGGGTGTGACCTTCACATCTTACATGTACCTCCCGTTGTATGGTGTGACCTTCACACCTAGTTTGGTTTGGTTTGGTTATTGAGAAGAAGATGTTTAAAGTTTTCAACATATTTGACCCCTGTGACCTTGAAAATAGGTGAAGGTCATTAATTTTAACAAACTTTGTAGCCCTTTATACCAGTTTGCTTCTGGCCAAATATCGACACCCTAGGCCTTTTGGTTATTAAGAAGAAGTCGCTTAAAGTAAAATATTGACGCCGGACGCCGGACGGACGCCACACCAGGTGAGCTTAAAATGAACTTGAAAAATAGGCCTATTGGGCATATACATGTTATAACAAATATAGAATATAATCCTGACTATTGTGATGTATAAAATACTTCCCAGGGCAAAATGTCTTTCCTGTTGGGTATTGCACAACCGTAGCCTAGTACCGCATTCCTTACAATCTTTCTGGTCCAGGTATTCAGATAACATCGCGAGTTCAACCACTCTTCTACCTTGCAACCGGGTTAAAAAGCTATTTGCGTATTCGTGATCAATAGTACTGGAGGGATCCTCATCGGACGTCGGTGTCGGCTCAACAGTAAAATTGCCAGTAAGCTTAGTAGGGGCCTCTGCATGCAGTAGCCAGCGTCTCTTCAATGTGTTGAGGTGTTAGTTATCATATATGGAAACTTTCGCTGAAATTGGTCCATTACTATAGAAGGAGTTGTCTACGGACAGACAGACAAGCTGATTCCAGTATACCCGGTACCCCTTAACTTTGTTGCAGGGGGTATAATAAAGTGTATAATAGTTTGACTATTAAGATTATTTGATTATTTTTATATAATTGCATATCGTTGTCTATAACACAATCTCAACCTTAAGTAGTTCTCCAGAAGAAAGATTACTTTGGCAGAATACATCTTCATAAATTGTAACTGCTGCTCATAACTTTAAAACATGCGTAATATAATAAAGTGTGTTGGTATGATACACAAACAGAAAATGTATCGGTTTTTACCATAATAAACATTGATAATCAAATCTTCAAGGTTATGTGAAATTGGGCATTGATCATGTTTGGCAAGCTAATAAAGTACTTTACCGGTTTTTATATTGCATAAAAATGATTCAGTAGTCAGAATACATATATGGAAAGTTTTTAAAGAATTTTAAAAGATAGACTACCACTGTAACTATAGATAGGCAAGTTCACAATGTTGATTATAATTTAAATTTTGTGAAAATTTTGTATGTTTTTCTAAATAAAAGTATCACTACGCTTACTTCATATATACCAATATGACATATTTAGTATCAAAATAACAGTAACTTATACACTGTACACTATCATAATTCATGTTCAAAATAGCATTCGCCTGTGACTTTTATCTATCATTTTGTTAGGGTACCCCCATCACTCAACCTGGCGTTATGCAAGGAGTCCACTACGGTTTTCAGTAGTAACTTGAACACTGACAGGTCAGTTAAGGGCCCCTTCTTGTGGCAATATATCCCCATAATCATCAAGAAGCAATCTGCCCATATAGCTGAGCTTGACGTTTGACATTTGGACTTCAAAAAGAATCGCAAGGAAGCAAAATATACATTTTACATGTACTATGATGTGAGTCTTGTTTCCTTCCACCTCCATATTTGCTGGGCTAACAGAAATGTAAATACCGGTGCAATACTCATTTGTTAGCTTTGATTTGTTTTATTTCATCTTATATACCTTCTCCATCAAGAGCCAGGGTCAGAGATCCACTTTGTCTTTGACCTTTGGACCCAAATGACCTTGACCATTAACCCAGTGACCCGATCTTTGGTCAGTTGACTTATTCTTTAATTCCGACCAACTTTGCTTCTTAATATCATAACAAAATGTTAATCAGTAAAACATACAAAACTTGACCTTGACCCTTTGGACCCCGTAACCTGGACCTAAGGTCAGTTGACTCTGTGTTAAGTTCTGAACAACATTACTTCATAATGTCGTAACAAAATGTTCATCAGGGAAAAGGTACAATATTTAAACTTCACCTTTGACCCAGTGACCTTGACCTTTGGTCAATTGACTCCTTGTTTAATTCTGAGCAACATTATTGAAAGTGTCATAGCGAAATGTTCACCAGTGAAAAGCTACAAAATTTCACCTTGACCCCTGACCCGATGACCTTGACCTTTGGTCAGTTGACTCCTTGTTTAATTCTTGACCTTGACCTTTGAACCTAATGACATTGACCTTTGACCTTGACTTTTTACCTCAATGTGTATTTTTGTGAACTGAACATCTTGACCAAGCTTCATGTACATCGGTCAATAAATACTGAAGTTATCAGCCAGGAACAAAATTTGTGGACGGACAGACAGACAGACAGACAAAGTGATTACTATAGGGCACCTGTATCTTCGATACGGGGCCCTAATTATGAATAATTATTTATGCAGTTATTGATCATTTTTATGTATCTACATATGGCAAAAGAATATAAGAAATCAAAGTCGGGGCCAAATGTTGACCCCACCTTTCATATGTTCTTACAGCACCTACCATGGAGTGCTATATCTTTACTTCATACCAATTATTTTAAACATATTCAGGTGAGCAATACAGGCCCTCTGGGCCTCTGGTATTTTAAATGTATTGTTGAATTCGATTTTATACATATATTTATCTATAAGGTGTATGTTCCTTTCACTAGCAAGTAATTATTATGAAGTTTTCCACTTCAGAGCTGTATTTTTTTCTTACTTGAGTATTCTGTCCAATATATAAGATATAAAGTTTACTTAATTTGTTTTCTCTATAATTACCTGACAATTGGCAAGGTATTCATCTAACACTGTGAATAAGTGTATCTAAAATTTCTGGATAGCAACATTGGTAGGCTATGCATTGGATAGGTTCCAACACATTTTTTCCGAGATACAAATTTCATGAACAAAAGTCATGTGATTGTGCGGACATGTGGTGTATTAAGGGGCGTATATACTTCCGGTGGAAAGGTAAATCATGTGATTTCTCTATATTGCATGGCGCCATGTGTTTTATATGGAAGAAGGCTGTAGAAAATCACTTCTAAATTCAACAAACAATACATAAATTAATAT